GTTTTTTTAATTGTGGTTTCGCAATCTGTAAGCCTTGACGACGTAGATTGTTCTCAAGCTCTGACATGGTTATACTACCACTTTTATCAATATCCCACGCACGAAAGACGTGTTGAAGTCGTCGGGACTCATACTTAGCCCGTAACAACGAGACCACACAATCCGAATCTAACGTCGCAATTTTAGCTTTGTCCGGCTGATCATTATTTTTTAACAGTTTGTTGCTGTTGGTACAGCTAGTAAAGTTAGTCTCTACCACTTCGTTTGGCTTTGGAGTACCGTATACAAATCGACAGAAATCATCATAGCGAAGAGACCTTCAAACCCAAAGCATAATCAGCTTCAAAAGACTTTCATCAAATGTCTTACATATCACTGACCTAGTCGGTAATGGTTCAACGTAATCAAGAATAGCGTCGATTTTCTTTGCGCCAAGTGCTTGAGTAATGCCCAATTGAGTCAACATTTTTCGAAATTCTTCTGCACAAAGACAACCGTCTCTGTTGGTATCCCATGAAAGAAACGCTTGACGAACACTACGTTTTTCCCCATAACGGTCGCCTAAGAAGGAGCGTAGATCCGTCATCTCTGGAGGTTCAGAGGGACTGGAAATCTCGGCAGTTGGTGAAGACGCCACATTATCTGCCCACCGAGTCTGAGATTTACAATGTGTTATTCTCGTCAATGCCAATGGCTCAGAAAACTTAACATCCCGTACGCATGTGGTGTCTCGTTAAATCACCAAGTGGAGTCTGAAGTTTAGGAAGCCTTTATTAAGACGATCGTCAATAAGGTTATCAAATGCATTTCAACGCGATAAACCACGTACGTATCGTCGTCAAGCAACATCGTGTCATCACTTGTTAAAGCACTTGACCTTGTAAATTTTCTGCTTGCACCGGGTGCGCTCTTTGAGATATAACATGAGAGTAACAAATTGAACGTTTGACTCAATATAATGAACAGATGAAGCTATGAAGTTGTACCTGAACACGGCGCTTTCGTTGATATCGATTGTCAAGAAGGCTATTTGACTCTTTAGGAGTGTTGTGGCTAGTTCATCTTGCTCAGATTTCTTGAAACGAATGTTCGCATTCGTATCAACAAGTCGAGGGACAATTCGCTTATATCCAGGAGTCAATGCAGACCCGATTTGTCCTGATTTATAGCTTGAAGAAATATGACACTCGACTGTATTTGTTCGTCTATTGGTATTGCTAGTGCCATTTACATGTCTTCGCTCCCTCATGTTAACTTTTGGTCTTTGAGTTCACATGTTGTCGCGATAATATATAAACGTACGAATATAGAGCTACATTGTCACTTATCTATCGCTTCTATTACGG